AATCACTAATATAACCAAGAAACAGGTCCCTGTGCACACTTGGGGTACTAGGCCTGGGCACTGAACTGAACCAGTTCTTTAAGGACTTACAGAAAGCCAGCAAGGTCAGGGCCATCCTGTTCTCCAGTAGGAGAATGTTCATTAGGGCAGGTGCTATGGCAGAAAAGGCACATCTTCTAGGTCCCGCCAACCGGCATTCCTTCGTCAATGGGACCTGAAGCATGCCCATCCTGCTTGACCAGATGAGTGGGTAGAAACAACTGGGGGAAAGATGGTCCCTCAAGCAACCTGGTCCCAAGCCATGAAGGAAGCCATGTTGATGTAGCCTCTCCCCTTTCCTATCGGGCTATGATGGTGGAAGAAGAGTGACTCTTGATGGCTGAAAATCAGAAGGAGTCTGGGGACACCTTTTCTGTAGCTCACTCCTACAATGTCTTGCTGGCTGAGCATGCCAGGGCAATATATTCTCTAATGAATCTGCTAATAGTAAGTGTATAATTTGTCTCCCCCGATTTTCTGTTTTGTAGGAAACACACTATGTTTGCCTGTAATGTAAGTTTGAGGTAAATTCTCACAACCCTGTCTCTGCACATCTAGCGTGTGCTAACTCCTTTTTCTAGGTTCGGTTGGATCTGGGTGGACAATGGGAATACAACGTGCTCAGTGGAATTTGGAATTGATCTTGGGAATGCAGTAATGTCTTTTCCTGTAGAATATCCACAGACCCATAATTGGAATGCCCCTAATTCCCCAACTCTCCTAACTGAAGTTAAGGGTGTGTTGTTGTTGTTTTTAAAGTCTTCTTGGTGAGCAACTTAATGGGGATCTCTCTGATGGATTCAAAGGAAACAGTTATTAAGGGTTTGAGTACTAGTGAGAGGCCCCATGTGGGGAAGTGGTAAATTACCAAGGGTGAGAAGAGGAGCCTGGGCCTGAAGAAGTAGAACAAACTTTGGTGGCCCAAGTGTCATACCCTGGGCCCATCCAGAAGAACAGAGCTTTCAGTGGCTGCCTTTCTGCCCAAAGTATTGTGGCTTGCTTCAGTGCTCCAGACGTTCTTAAATCGGTTGGGTCTGTGCCTTTCTTCTTCCTCTTGGGTCAACTGATGTAGGTATTAGGGCTATCATTGACGGCAGGTAACACTTGCCATTTCATGATCTCTTTGGGTGGGAAGTAAAGCTTGCTTGCTAACATGGGGAGTGCTTTAGATTTGTCTGTCTCCATCCACTTCTTTTTAATTATTTCTTGAAAAAGTTTGGGAAGAAAGCTGCTGGATCCTACAGGGAATATTTCTGCTGATTCTTGTGATTCCTTAGAGGTAGTGATTGTTGGGTTGTTAGAGGCCAGTCAACATTAAACAGTCTCTTGGTTGGAAAGAGCTGATCTGAACCAGAGGAATGGACTTCAGGCATGTCTTGTGAGTCTCTCCTTTCTCCACTTCTGGGATACAGGGGATCCCCCTCTTTGCTCTGGTTGTTTATGGCTGAAAATCCAGAACATAGCAATGTGGGGTTTTTTGCCCTTTGAACACTTCACGGATAGCTGTCCACCTCCCTCCTATGTCTGTTTCCTTCACATCTCTCCAGGTGTCTTGTCTTCCTCTTTCTTCCTTTTCCATGTGAATGTGGAAAGGAGCATCAATAGGCAGAGGATGGAGAAGAATAGGTTTCACTTGATGGGCTTCTGGAAATCAGGGCAACTGGTACCCATCTCTTTCCACCTGATCAGGAGTGTCCTCTGTTCCTCATGCCTGCTTTAGAATTGTATATAACTCTGTTCTGGATCAGCTGGTTGGTGCTCCCATGTCCTGCATGGATAGAAGGGCCGAATTGGGGCCAGTCTTC